AAAGAGTACCCTGGAGCAGGAACTCAATAGGGCCCTCGTTCGGAGATCCCGCTGCCGCAGCTGCGATCTCCTTAGCCTTCTCCTGGAAGACCTCGATGAAAGTGTTTCCAATAATCTTTCTCTTCTTCTCCGGATCCGTGACACCTTTAAGCAAGCTGAGGAACCTTTCAGAAGCGTCGACGACGGTAAGATTGATCCCAAGACCCTTGGACAGCGTCTCTTGAACCTGCTGGGCCTCGTTCAAGCGCATGACACCGTTGTCGACCAGGACCGCGTGGAAGCGATCTCCGATAGCCTCCTTCATGAGTTTAGCAGCCACGGTAGAATCCACGCCACCGCTGACAGCGCCAATAACCTGGCCCTTTTCACCGACGATAGCTCTGATCCTCTCAATTTCCTTGTCCACGAACCTCTCCATAGTCCACTCCTGCTTAGCGTGGCAGATTCCGACGGCAAAGTTCTCAAGGATCTTCTTGCCTCGTGGTGTGTGGGTCACTTCTGCGTGGAATTGGACTCCGAAGTAAGGCTTCTTCGTATGGGCGATACCGGCGAACGGAGCGTTGCTGGTAGTGGCAATGACCTCGAAGTCGGGAGGGAGCTTAGACAGCTTGTCTCCGTGAGACATCCACACTTGAATTTGATCCTCCACACCCTCGAACAGACGATCGACGTGCGCATCCTTCCCTGGATGCCGGTGGATGTTCAGGAGAGCGTGCCCGTATTCCTTCTTCTCGCTGGCAAGCACATTCTTGCCGTGGTGCCAGGCAAGCTCCTGGAGACCATAGCAGATACCCAGGATGGGGACATCGAGGTTGAAGACATCAGGATCGACATGCGGCGCGTTTTCTTCGTAGACGGAGAACGGGCTACCGGACAGGATCACACCCTTAGGCTTCCAAGGCAGGTCGGCGATTTTCTGAGTGCATGGCAGCATCTCAGAGTAGACATTCAGCTCGCGCAGACGTCGCGTGATCAGATGAGAGTACTGCGACCTTGGATCATGTCGATCTTTAGCACCTGTCTGTCGCAGAACCTCGATCGTGGGGTGACTCACCCGAAGTCCAGTACGAGGATCGTGTCGAACGTCTTGTGCGGCTCATTGACCATCTCGCCATTGGCGGCCATGGTTGCAGATTTCCTAGGAATTCAGAAAGAAAGTGTCAAATTTAAAACGAGAAGGACCTGCAACCAAATCTGGAGAATAAATTCTTTTGCGACTGAAAGAGTGAACGGGAGAGGCTCCGGGGAGGAATGTATGTTCCCGCCCACTGATAAGAAAAAAAAAGCCCGCGGTCCGCCGATAGGGGAAAAAAATTGCCATCAAGGTTTAGCGAGGGGCTTGGAGATCGGTCTCGGCGCAACTTTTATTTTATCATTACCCCAGACTTTATCGTCAGGTCTCGGGGACCTTTCTCAATAACCCAGGTCTACCTTTAATTCCGCGAAAAAAAAAGATACACGAAAATGGGGAAGAGGAAAGAGTTAAAAGATGGAGATGTCGACATGAAGGACGCCCAGCGTCCAGCGGCAGAAGACGACGACAGTGGGAGCGAGGATGTACACCATGCCCCCAATTCTTTTGATATTTGATTTTCTGGTACATTTTGGAGCCAGGACCTGCTAACAGCGATTCTCTTTCTTTTTTCCAGGACATGGAAATGGTGAACGTGGACTTTGAATGGTTTGACCCGCAACCCGCTGTCGACTTTCACGGCCTCAAGACCCTCCTGCGACAATTGTTCGATAGCGACGCGCAATTGTTCGACCTGTCGGCCTTGGTGGATATGATCCTGGCCCAGCCGCTGCTAGGATCGACCGTCAAGGTCGACGGGAACGAATCGGACCCGTATGCTTTTCTGTCGGTGTTGAACCTGCAAGAACACAAGGTAGCGTAGCTCACGGAGCACTGTGACAATGAGTCGCCGTCGACAAATACTAAATGATATATATTGGGGATATAGGATAAGCCTGTTATCAAAGACCTGATCGCCTATCTACAGAAAAAGGCCTCCGAGAATCCCTCCTCCTTCTCCGCCCTCTCGAACCTCCTCTCCCAATCCGAAATCCCCCCGATCGGGCTCATCCTGACCGAGCGGCTCATCAACATTCCCCCCGAAGTCGTCCCGCCCATGTACACCATGCTCCTGGAAGAGATCGCCTGGGCGATCGAAGACAAGGAGCCGTACAACTTCACGCACTACCTGATCATCTCCAAGACGTACGAAGAGGTCGAGTCGAAATTGGACATGGAGGAATCCCGTCCACAGAAGAAGAAGAAAAAGAGCGCCAGCGAGAAGCCGGAGCGGTTCTACTTCCACCCCGAAGACGAAGTCTTCGAGCGCCATGCCTTGAACTACGGCTCATTCGAGTATACCAACAAGCAGGCGGAGGGCCAGTCGGACTCAAAGCGGGCATTCCAGGAATTGGGAATAAGGCCCGCAGGGAGTCTGATCCTCCTCGAGGCAGGGAAATTCGAAACCGCAGTGAAGGATGTTGCCGAATTCCTGAAACCTCCCGCGTAGGCTGCGCGTGGTATTATAAAAATGCCATTACTTTTGTCTATTCCCTAGCTATTCCTGCAAAGTCTGTCACGAAGTAAAATGCCAAACGTCCCCAAACCCGGATGTTGCATGAGTCGAAATGCTCCCTCGTTATATTCTAAAAGAAGAATCATGATTCATTATAATGGTAGGTATATTAGAGTAGAATAGAAGACTGCCTGGCGCACTCTGCGTTCATTCCCATTGCGTTCCCTTGAGGCGCTGCATCAAATATTCGACTTCGACGACCTTCGTCAGGGGGATGACAAGGTTCTATAATTCCAACGTCAACAGAAGCTCGACAGAGAGAGAGATAAAGGCTGTACAAACCTTGTACATGTCCACAACCGCTTCAACCTTGATCTTGTTGCGCAGTTCTGGAAGTGCAGGATCGCTGCCGTATGCCTCGGCCTTGAGTCTCAGTCTGTCCAACACCTGTTGTTCGACCTTCGCATCCGTAATCGCCGCCTCAATTCCTTCGCGGTCTCCAGCCTTGATCAATTTGACGAATTTCTCCGGGTCCTTTCGGAACTTGGACTCGGCGACAAACTTGCCGAAATGGATACGACGGGACAATGCCTGAAGGCAGTTGACATCGCATGTGGCCGACGACCCGTAATTCTCCTTGGTTTCGCCGCGATCCGGCCGTCCAAAGTCGGGACAGACTGACGGCAGAACCTCCTCAATGTAGCGCTTCTTTATCGTGGAATTGAGATTGACGTCGTTCTCGTGGAGGATGGGGGGATACTGGAGGGGCTGGAGGATGGGTTTTTCGAGCGCATCGGGGAAGAAAGGGTATTCGTCGGGCGACTCATAACGGCGAACACGCGACTGCAGGCGCTCTTGCTCCCGGAGCAAGTAGTCCATGAGACTGAGGTCGCAGCCGGGGATCTTGACCCCTCCAGGGACATAGATGGTCCGGTTGAGCGGGAACTGGACACGCTCGATCAGGTGGAATGTGATCGTATCTTCAAGACGACTACCAGCACAAGACAGTCAGAAAACACCTTGTTAGAAGCCCCCGACTGTGGTCGTCGTCTCCAAATTCTAGCGTCTGATCGACAACAGCGCAAGCACGGAGCGACTCACATCAATTGAAATCGGATATTGGACAAATCCAGAGCCTTGGACGGGTCCGAGAGATCGATTGCAGCATCCATTGTGCCGTATGACTTGTGACCAGTTTTGCTGTCCCAGATACGGCGGTGTTATTGTTATATGGCAGAGAGAGGGGTAGTGGTGGTGGTTGTCAGACGAGGTGGGCGTCTTCTCAGCTTGCGGTAATAATCCGATTCTTCGCCTTGGCGGGGTATCGTAGCAGGCCTTGCTTCGTCGCCTTCGTTTCACAGCACCACCTCCCATGACCTGCGCAAACGCCATTCTGCACAAGATGGAAGGGCATGTTGCACAGAGATTCTAATTACAAAAAATCGCATCCTGGGATCCAAAGAGAATGCCGCAATGGCGGTCCTCGGGACGAAACCTTGGAAGTGGTCACATGTCCAGAAGGGATGAGGGACCTCGATGAGCAGGATCAACGAGCCATCGTGGAGAAAAGTCAACCTTCATCTGTATATGCGTATGTGGCCCTTCTGTCTAAGTGCCATTGGGATTGACAGTCTGCAAGTTCGCTGAGAAGTGTGAATGCGCCTGTGCTTGTCACATGGAGTCATCTAATACAGGTCTGAAACCTCCGCGGCAATCAATGGAAATTAGCTATATTTTTGTGATGAATTGGAATGTTTCAAGAGGTAGATGGCAGCAGACCCTGTTTGGTTTCAGGTTGGTCATAATAGCAATGATTAGCACCGCCAGTAATAATATCATTACGCCAGACAGTTATTTCTTCCAGCTCCCATGTCTTGTTTATTTATTTACTCTGTATTTTTTGCTGGCAGCGTTCTGCCGGGGTGCGGTGACTGTAAGCAATACTAGGCTTGCCGCACGCCCGTGTAAAATTACAGCCGGAACTCGGTATCGCGTGCCAGCATCTCAACCCTTCCTCGACCGATTTTCCCGGCGCCCTCACCACCGCGACCAATTCCTTCTCGCGTGAACCCCGGGTCATCTGTAGGGTTCCTGAGCGTGTCCTCTGTGATCGGCCTTGCTCATGGAGGACCACCACCGCCATGAGTCGCCCTCCGGCCGATCGGACGCCCTTGACGATTCGGTTCTAGGAACCGGCTTGACGGTAACCCGGTCCCTTTCTGCTCGGACAGCAGAATCAGGATGCTAACTCCCGGCGCCAGACGCGTCACCTTGAGGCTTTTGGGCGAAAGGTCACTTCTACGGCGAACCACTTGATCGGGCCTGGGTCGGATTCCAACCTCGGCGGCCACTATCAAAATGCTCTAACCGACATCCACCGAGAATTGCGGCGCCCGACGGTTCAGCGACGCATCTTTGCCCTCGCCCAGACGACGCCTACCGATCTCGTCCGTTCGAAGCTGTCGACGTCCGAAATACAATCCCGTGCGGTCTCCTCTCTTCCCGACGAACTCCTTGCAAACATCCCCGAAGACACCAGTACCTATTCTCTGTTTCAGGGCTTCCAGGCTTCCCTTCCCGAATCCGACAATGACCACCGGAAATCCCATCGCAGACGAGGCTCAAAGGGCCAGAAGCTTCTCACCGATGAGGACAAGGATAGGGCTCTGCCGTCTTCAATTAGCGCCCTGAAAGAGGAGCGGGAGCGGCTAAACCATCGCTTAGAGATGATGGGCATTCGGAAGAATATGTGCAGCGCAGAGATCCGTGAGATCGACAACAAGATCGCGAATCTGAACAACATGCGCAAGATCGTTTTGGACCGGCTGGCCGGCCTGGAAATGGACGAGGCGGAACTGGAACACCAATGTGAGTTCACCGGACTCTTTCCACGGAAAGGCCAAGGTCTGACATCCGCAAAACAGTGGTTGAGCTCGATAACAAGCTGGAGGATATGGAAGAGGAGGAGGAAGCGGCAGCTGCGGCTCAGGCAACTCCCAAGTCGGGTACCACAAACGACCAGTCTGAAGATGCAGCACTGGATGCATCCTTCATGTCTGAATCAATCTATCAGAAGCTCTCGCCAAGGAGTCGAAAACACAAATCGATACGTAAGGCAGCCCGGCGTCTTGCTTACGGGGGAAAAAAAATTTGTTCTTCTAACCGCACCTGCCAGGGAAACGATCCATGCCGATTTTACATGAACATTTCGAGCCCGGAACGGCGATCAAGGAAATACAGGCTCATAATGACATTGTCACCGCCCTCGATTTCGACATGCCCTTTGGAACCATGGTCAGTGCTGCATTGGACGATACCGTCCGTGTGTGGGATCTCAATGCAGGACGGTGTTTAGGGTTCCTGGAAGGCCACCACGCGTCCGTGAGATGTCTACAAGTCGAAGACAATATTGTCGCCACGGGGTCGATGGATGCAACGATCCGTCTCTGGGATCTGAGTCGTGCTCAATACGCGCCTCGAGACAACCGAATTAACAAGGGTGGCGACGAGGAAGACGATGATGGACTTCGTTACTCGAACCCGGAGGATGCTCCGCCACAACCGCCTTCCTCCAGCATGGAGGATTGTCAGGTCTTCTCCCTCGAGGCTCATGTAGATGAAGTGACGGCGCTCCACTTCCGGGGCAACACACTTATCTCAGGGTCCGCCGACAAGACGTTGCGACAGTGGGATCTAGTCAAAGGACGTTGCGTTCAGACGCTGGATGTCCTCTGGGCGGCTGCACAGGCGTCAGCATCGCTCGCAGCCGGCACCAACGCCCAATGGCGTCCAACAGGGCGACTCCCGGACGCGTCGGCCGACTTTGTCGGTGCTCTTCAATCTTTTGATGCCGCATTGGCGTGCGGAACAGCCGACGGCATCATTCGTCTCTGGGATCTCCGAAGCGGCCAGGTCCATCGCAGCCTCGTGGGCCATACTGGCCCGATCACGTGCTTGCAGTTCGACGACGTGCATCTCGTCACTGGCAGCCTTGACCGCAGCATCCGGGTGAGTACTACCGAATTGTTGATTCTGATACAGCTTTTTCTGACTCTTCTAGATATGGGACCTCCGTACTGGATCCATCTACGATGCTTTTGCCTACGACAAGCCCATCACGAGCATGATGTTTGACTCGCGGCGAATCGCATGCGCAGCCGGGGAGAATGTGGTGAAGATCTACGACAAGACGGACGGGCATCACTGGGATTGCGGTGCCGGCGTCTCTGCTGAAGCCGAGGGCACCAACCCGGCGACCGTCGAACGGGTGCGGATCAAGGACGGGTATCTCATCGAAGGTCGCAAGGACGGTGTGGTCGGGGTGTGGGCCTGTTGAGCCTCCTGAAGCGTGACGAAGCGGCATGCTTATCTCTCCCCTTCCGTAATGTGGACCGGATGGCCACTGTGTATACTATGCCTGGGTACTGCTCCTGCTGAGAGGGTATGGTGTTGGCGGTTGTGCTTGGAACAAGTGTATGATGTAGCCTGTCGCCCTGGCGAATGTTTCTTCCTGTCCTGGGATTTTTTGGAGAACAGATAGGGTGTTTTTTTGTCGTGACTCGTGTGTTCCTGCAGCCGACCAGGATATACATACTCTGTACAATGGACCTTTCAGCGTAGCGACTACTATTATGTGACAGTATTGTATCTCTTCCCAAAGTTCAATATGTGGAATTGTATATGGTGAATGGGCGGTTTTATTTTTCTCATTCTTAAGACTTTTTTTTAAAGAGATCTGGTCAAATACCTCAAATCCCAAGTTCATCGCTCGTATGTCATGCCCAGACGCTCGGACCAGCAGCGCAGGAACGCGGCGGGAAAACGAAAAGACAAAAGCGGTTCGCGCGTTCTCGCCGCCAAGAATCGCAAGGATCGCCCATCTTTACATCGCTGAGATACATACATACAAAAGGCATGAATTATTGAATTGTTTCCTTTCCCAAAGGGGGATGTTTCGCTAGAGGAGGTACTCTCGAGGGTGCAGCTCTTCGCTGTCGCTGGCGCGCTCTGCAGCCGTCGATCGCGACTCGGAATTGAATTGCTAAGATTCGCGACGCCTTTCCATCCCATGGAACTCGAGCACGCCTGCGATACTCATCATATTTGATCATTAATTCTTGCCTCTTCTGGAGGAGGAATGTTGAGCTCTTGAAAAAGAGACATCCAATTAGTTTGGCGCTGTGATCTGCGTGTGTTTTGTTTTGCAAGTTCACGGCCTGTGCCAGGACAACCGGCATTGATTGCAGTTGTCAAGGGATCACGAAAATACCTTCAAATATCTCTCATCTTTCTGTTTTCTGAGAAGACATCTCTATCTCCTATATCTCTTTTGCTTCTCTACAGATCTTATCCTTGCCCTCACCAACAATCAGATATCAAACTGTCTGCCTCGACTTAGCCCTTGGCAAAGGCCACTTTATCTTCCATCTTTATCTGAGGGTTCTCGACGAGATGTGTTTGGACCTCTTTTGCTGTTGTCAATCCAGAAATCGCATCTCCTTCATATAGACGCCGAGAGGGCTCTCCCGTCGACAGCACTTGGCCTGCTCATTGTCAGCAGACTGAATCCTCTTGTCCGCATCTTGCTCTCTGGAAGCTCTCAGTCTAGGTGAGTTAAATATCGGTTTTCGTGTTGATGTGGATTTGAAAGCATCTCTATCCTCTGGGAGTGAGATTGATCCAGCTGGATATCAGTCGCCCAACTGCATTTGTTTTTGTCTCAAATTGTGTAGCCTTTCACATCAATTACTTGTCCCATGTTCTACATCTTCATCAGCTTCCTGTCGAAGCCGTTGTATATGTGAAAAGCCTTGTCGATAGATCGGCTCCACTTTTTTTTCACCTTTATGTCCATTTACGTTCCATTCGGCTACTGCAATTTGATCATACTGACTCGAACCAGTTCTGAACATTAAGTCGGTTAAAAAAAGTCAAGAGACGTCAACAGTACAATATGCCTCCCAAGCGTGGTTCACGCCGTGGAGGATCAGTTGCCAGACAGACAGGTCCCACTGAGAGTCCTGCTGGTTCGTCCAGCCCTTCGTTTTTGTCCAGGCCCTGGCGTTCTCTTGCGCCTGGTTCCTCGACGACTTGCCAGTTAGTCTTGCATGAATTGCTGATATTGAAATAGGCCCGCGCCAGTCTCGGGATCGCAGTTCTGTTGCCAGCCAAAGTAATGAATCTCGCGTGACCACGCGCTCTCAGCGCCGCTTGGCTTCGACAAGCGTCTCTCCTGTCCGTCCTCCTTCAAAACGCGATGCTAGTCCCGATGAGATACAAGTCCTCGAGTCCCTCCGCGAAGCTTCTGCAAGCGTTTCACGTTCCAATTCCCCGGAACAACATCCTGCTGAGACTGAACCTGGCGCTTCTACCGCCACTCCCTCTCCACCTGTTCAGCACACCATATCTACCACTTCAACCCCGGCTGCGCCAACCCTTGACCACTTAACAAATGGGGACAGCCCTCCGGAGCATCCAACTGACGACAGGGCCGCTTCTTTCGCCTATCCTCCTCCGCGCTTTGGATCTCAGTCGATTCCGAGTTCTCCTCAACATGCAGACTCCGTCGATAACGAGTCGACGATTTCTTGGAGGCTTGAACGTGACTTGCATCGCGATGAAATCCAGCGTACTCGGCCGAACAAGTATCGGCAGTCACCACATGGTAGAAACATCACTGCCCCGCCTCGTCGTCTTTCTGGTCTTACATTTCTCAATGATACGATCCACGAGCAACCGGATCCAGCATCTCCTCACGTCTCGAGTGCCCCTGCGAAGACAGTCATATCGACAATTGCTGCGCGAGACAGTCCTGATCATGACTCCACTGTGGATGATGCTCCGGCCAGGTCTGTCGGCCAGTCAACCACCTTCGCTACCGCATCTGACACTTCATCCTTGAACCGCATTAGGTTCATTATAATCCCGATTCTGGTGGCTGCTGCTGCCTTTGGCCTCTATTACTTTGGTGAGCAGCTGGCGGCGGCAACGCAGGCACTCACTTCGTCGCTTCCATTCAGCCAGCAACGTCCGTACCCGACCCTC